CTTAGCATAATCTCCTCCAGTCCCATCCATGTTGATGCAAAAGGTTGGGTATTCATCCTTTCTGATGGCTGAGTAATATTCCATGGTATGTATGGACCACATCTTTATCCATTCATCTGTTGAAGGGCATCTCGGCTCTTTCCACACTTTGACTCATTTCCAATACGACAGCCTTCTTCCTTCCCCCAGCTGAATCATCTTACAGTGAATGAGGTGTAATGACTGATGGCCAAGGCTGCCGGCCCAGGTAAGATTGTAGAGAATGTGAGCATCCTTCTCTGTGCTCTTCTGCCAGCACCTCTCCTTCCCTCCCCCCAAAACTGCCTGCTTCCCTCCAGGGCACTTTCCCATCCTCCTCCACAACCAGGCCTTTCTCCAGAACCCAGCCTGGAACACCTTCCTATAGCCTCTTTTATCAGCAGCCAATAAACCAACCCCTGGTGTGTTTGCAATACCACCTAGCAGGATCATATTAAAAATGTAACACTGGGAGATCAAAATATTCTGGCAGAGACTCAGATGAATGAAGCTTCCACGGAGGATAACAGGCAAGGGGGTGGCTTTTTAGAAGTGGGAAGCACAGCCTGGTGCCCCAGCATAAGGTCTGGTCAATAGATGGACCTCAGTGGATGTTTGCTTGATTAATTCACTGGTCTGGACAATCCCCCCAAGAGGCATCTCAGTATGGGGCAGCAAGTATCATCCGTGTGCCCCTCACGGGCACTCTCTACCCTTCGCCACCATGCTTTCTGCCAAAACTGACCTGGGAGGGACTCTATCAACAGGGCTCCCTCCTCTTCTGGCTTCCTGTTGAGTTTGACCAATGCGAGTCCCGGAGGGAGCCTGGAGGGAGGAAAGGGAAAGAAGCCAGGTTCTGTGTAGCCAGCTGAATCCCTCTTCTCTTCTGGCCGTTCTCTCCCGGGACTTTCTCCTTCCTGGTTCAGGTCACTCTCCTCCCCCACCCCCACCCCCTTCAGGTCTAGGGCAGATAGTGTTGCTAGCTGTGGGACCCTGCATTAGCCGCTGTGGTTTCCCCACATGCAGCCCACATCTTTGTAGATCGTCCCAGTCTTAAACTCTCCTCGAGTTCATCATCCCGACTTCCGTGCACCATCTGTTTTCCTGCTGAGACTCTTACTGGTACAAGTTGGAAGGTTTGCACTGGGGTTCTGGAGCTGCCATTTACAAAATACTTGACCTTGGGCATACACGTAACTGCTCTGCACCCCAAATCTTTTAATTGTAAAAGGAAAGGGCCAAATAGATTTTTTTTCTAAATTCAGCAAATGCTTATTGCGAACCCATTATGTACCAGTCTCTGCACCAGATGCTGAGGAATCCATGGTGAAGGTGATCAAGTCAAGAGTCTACCACTCTATTTGACAGGCTAGGAGAACAATGTTTCTTAGGACTCGCTAATTCTAAAAATCTCTAATTCCGTGATGAGCTGGTAATATCTAAGGCAAGACAAGATTTAGAGAAAAAGCTTCAAAAAGGGTTATTCTACCTCATGTTGGGGGTGGGGGCAGGCACGGAGATGCTCCCATCTGGACAGGCAAGATTGTCACAGGGAAAGTCTAAGTCCAGGGACCAGACACAAGGCAGTCAGGGCAAGGAAATTACATGTGTCTGGAAGAATGATCCAGGACCACTGTGTTCTTCTGCATGAGTGTGTGAACGTGTGCATGTGTGTGAGTGTGTATGTGAGTGTGAGTGCATGAGTGTGTGTATGTGTGTGTGAGAACATGTGAGATAATGATCATCATCATTATCATCATCATAGCAATCAGGAAAGAGAGGTATTCATTACAAATCCTCGAAAACTAACAAAGTGAAAAGAGAAAAACTATAAACCGTGCTTGATTGTGTTAAATAATAATGATCCTTAGAGTCATTTATTAGGACCATTTACCATATTTGTGTCTAGTTACCAGGCAGCACAATGACTTATGCCTATCATTGAATATACCAGGCTAATCTTGTGATAAATTATATTTGATATGAAGGGAACTGTTATATAGGCAAGATGAGTCACCTTGCCTGTGCCGCAGGCCAGTAGGTCTGGTCTGAGCGGCCCGCAGCTCCTCCGTTCGAGGCCTGCCTGAGGTGTATCTGGACAGGCATGCTCCCTAAGTTGGAAGTGGTACCCGGCAACAGAAACAAGGGTTTGGTTTGGCTTGTAGAGTTTTAGTGATTGAATTTGAATTCTAAGCCTTCTTAGTGTCAACAGTCTTACTCTCTCACATTTGTACCCGGCTTCCCCTCCCCTCCCCTGCCAAGCTCTGCTCTTCTCCCATCTGTGGGGGGACTTCCTTCCCTAAAGCGTTCCAGCAGACAGGCTGTGTGTTCACAAAGGTAATAACACCCTGCATTTACTCAGCACCCACGGTGGTTCCTAAAGCCCTTGTCCATACTTCTTCCCTTTCAACAATAGCCCCAATGTGGACCCAGCAAGGGTTATCCGCATTTCAGGATAAGCAAATAAAATCTTAGCAAGGATGGGTAGTCTGTCCAAGTGCGTGTGATCAGTGCAGTGCAGAAGTGGGCTTCTCAAGCCTAGAGCGGGGAGGACTCAGTCTTTCTCATGCTGCCCTGGCGTCAGGGAAACACTTGGATTCATTGTCAGTCCTCTCCTGAGGATGTCCTGGGTTGGTGGCTCATTGGCCATGGGACACACCGAGTCTGTGTCTTCCAAGAGCAGTCTCTATGCCCTGCAATCCTCTCTCCTTGACTTGCTGTTGCCCTGAGACACCAGACAAATTATTTTTCTTCAAGTGCACTCCTGGGCCCTTGCTCAGGCTGAAATGCACCTGCCGCTATTTCTTTGTAGAGGCAATCTTTTGACGGGGGGAGCAGAGATGGCCAGGAAATAAACTCCAGCCCCAGAACTGGACCCTGGTCCGACAAGGGGAAAACCAATCCACATGTAGGCTTCTCCTGCATCTGTCCTTCTTAGATACCATTAGGTCTGGACCTAATGGCTGCCTGTTCTTTTTGTCCACACTCTTCAGCTGGCTTTGAATGCGTGAATGTGATATTCAAGGCTTCCAGGATCAGCCCTAAGGTACTTTCCAGTCTCAACTTCCATAGACTTCTTGCCCCATGGTTCTGGAACACACACACACATACATGCATACACATGGACACACCACACCGTCTCCTAGTTCCGCTGAACCACTCCCTGTCCCTGGATGCTCTGAGTACTCTGCGCATGTGTGCACATGCGTGTGTGTGTGTGTGTGTGTGTGTGTATGTTTGCAGATCTTCTCCGTCTAGCCTCCCCTTCATTATAGGCAACAGGCCACTGTGTGGTCTGTCCCACGGTGTGGGATATGTGCCTCTGCTGGAGCATGAGGGCTTTTAGGGATATGTCATTAAGTAACGTATTAAATAGACTGGGTCACCTCATGGGAAAGTTAGCTCCTTCTTCACTCCACAGACCCGGAGAAAGACTCTGTAAGGGGTACACATGTCGACACCTCTTTAACACTTCCTACTTCCTTTTTTAATTAAAAAGATCGTGAGCTCAGGCAACACTTTCGTAGGCAACAGTTTCTAGTGTAAGTCAATAACATTGTTTTATTTCCATTATTTTTTTCTATATGACAAATGATTTTGATTCCCACTTAAAGATGTGATATGAAGAGTCCTTATTAAATAGATATTTCCTGAGTTATAAGAGAGTAGCTCAAGCTAATGAGAGATATTAATTCAATAATGACTGGCATGCAAAAAGGACAGCAATCATAGGATGACACCTACTTAAAGCCGGGGAGGCAGAGCAGTGATGTTGGAATGGACGCAAAGCCCAGCTGTTTCTACCAGCTGGGTGACTTAATCAAATACTTCTCCGTCAAAGAATTAAGTTAACGTAATGAACATAAAGCACTTAGGCCAGTGCCTGGTGCATAGAAAATGCTCAATAAATGCTAGATGCCATTTGCCAGCCCAGTTCAAATGCCACATCTTCCACGAAGCCTTCTTGAGTATTCCAGTCAGAAGTTCTCCTTCCTCTGTTCTCTCAAGCTACTTCATACTTACAGAACTTCACACATTCTATCTTGTACATAGTTGTGGGGTATTAGACTTTTTACATATCTATATCCCACCTAGGACCAAGCACATGCTAAACAATGAATATGTCCTTGATTATGAATGCATTCCCTTTTTTTTTATGTGTTTTGTTTATAAAGGCTTATTTTTTTCTGGGAAGCTCTAGAAGACCCTCTCCAATCTCAACATGCTATAGAGTTTCCAGGAAAACCTTAAAGATTCTGGGGCAAGAGAACAGAGAATGCTTGTTTAGTATCATTTAAATCAATGTTGTACTCAAGCTAGAAACATAGAGTCTTGTCTGATTCTTGTTCCTGGAGCAAGAGAGAAAGACTCAAAGATGGGAGAGGCAGGGGCTGCAGAGTCATGGATATAGATGGAGACAAGAGGCAGGAAGGCAGAGCGGCAGCGCATGGTGGACTGCAAGGCATAAAGGAGAGATGTCTGGCAATGGAAGGTGAGACAGACACAAGGGACAAACATCAGATGGGGACAACGGGGTACAAAGTTGACACACTGAGACTTCAGGATAAAATAGTCTAGGGGCCCCTGGGTGGCTCAGTTGGTTAAGCATCCAACTTCGGCTCAGGTCATGATCTCAGGGTCCTGGGATCTAGCCCCATGTCGGGCTCCCTGCCCAGCATGGAATCTGCTTTTCCCTCTCCCTCTGCTCCTCCCCCCACTGTTTTCTCTCTCTCTCTCTCAAATAAATAAATAAAATCTTTTAAAAAATAGTCTAAGTGAACCTGGTTTAACTCTTTTGCACAAGACTCTACAGTTATGATAGAGGAATAAGGTAAAATGTAAACCAGAATGTAGGAAGGGGACAGGCCTACCTCCACAAGTTTACCACCTTACTTAAGGCCGTTTGATGAGCAATGTGTCTAAGAAGAATTATTTTTGTTTGAATCCTTTATTTCCCCTCTTAGAAGTTACGGCAGAGCCTCTTTGGAAATGCCGTCCATGTCTTCAGCTATGACTGGAAAAAGGCCTATTTCAGGTTCCATGATCCTTTTTCTGACCTGGCTTTTGCTTTGGAAGTAGAAAAGGTAATAGTAGGCAAAAATTTTTAAATATTCTAATCCCATATTCCCTATCCATATTTCCTTCCATTCTCATCCATAAGAATATATGTTTTCATTATAATCATTTGTGGAAGCATATTTCATATAATTTAAAATTTAACCTTAAATGATAAGAGGCTGTTTAAAATTATAACTCACTGTCAGGATTGTAGCAAAGCCTCAAACCCCGCCCCCATGCACACTGCCCTCCCCAATTCTAGTTTTCCTGGCTCTCCTCTCCAAGTTCTAAGTATCCCTGAGGATGTGAAGGCAGGAGGAGATCCAGGAGGTTCTTCCTGGCTTATATAAAATCTCAGTAATTCATGTCATCAATTACCAGTAACAAAGAATTTCAAGGAATAGCCAACAATTTCCTGACATCTTCCAAATCCAAAAGTTGGATAGGAAGCAGGAGCATGGCGGAGGTGGGGTGGAGGAGGATGCTTGTCCCCAGGTGCCAGTCTACAGGGCTCCACAAAGAAGGTGGTTGTTGCAGATTCTAGCCCAGCCATGGCATCTGACCACAGCTCACGTACATAGTATGGTGCCCCTTCACTCAGCTTAGGGATGTTATATACCAGGAGGGAAAGGGCTTCGGAGAATAGATGGCATCCATTTCCAAGAGTTCTCCTTTGTCCTGTTGGCCCCCTGGGGTTCCAGTACAGTTGTAAAGCTCTGCTCCCAGCCTTCATATGCCTCACTATTCATCTTCCCCATTTCAGGGAGGTGCCCGAAGCATTCAGATGGCTGTACAAGGATCCATCATCAAATACTTGTTGTTTACAAGGAAGGGAAAAGACTGTAACTTTCACAGGTAAGAGGCCTAGAACTACTTGAGAGAATTACCCATTTCATGAGAACCTTTACATGCCAAATAGTCACTGGGGAAAATTCCCTGGTGGCCTCGGGAAGGGGACTTGCCTCACGAGACAAAATGGCTCTGGTTCTCCCGGAGGGACTGGACTTTGCGGCTGGGGAGGACTCTCCGGGAGCCACTCTCAATGGTTGCTGGAATAATGTTGAGTTTTCATGTTCCGCTGCAGACCGTCCTGTCAGGTGAAGTGACGCACCTGGTCTCAGGTGGGTTTACTTGACAGTATTTGATGGGAAAACCCAGACTAACAATTAAGGAGGAACAAAAGGGCTGTTTAAAAAAAAAAAAAAAAAAAACCCTGATAAATGAAGAATTAATTCTCCTATTTAACCAGGCTGACAAAATACAGTGTTTGGTAGTTGCCTATTTAAGAAAATCAGTTCAAATGACTTTACTTAGAAGTCAACAAACTCCATCATGGGCAAAGCTCTATGCTTGGTATGAGAAGAAATATAAACAAGTAAAAGGTATATATCTGCCCTCAGCAGGATAAGTTATCCCTCAAAACAGGAACTAAATGTATAATTTATTCTAAGATCATGAATTGCCAGTTTCCTGAGAAGCAGAGCCAGAGGTGGGAATTCTTTATACAAGTGATTTATGAAGCAAATGCCCTGTTGGAGAGGAAAAAAAAATTCTTTTACCCTTCTAGCTTCTTTGGCTGGTCTAATAATTAACCTGACATAAGACAGATTAACAGGAGAAAAACAAACAAAGTTTAATAACATGTATATATCCTGTATACCCGGGAGAGACCAAGAGAAATTGAGTAACTCCCCAGAATAGCCAAAGGCATCACCTTAAATACCATCATCTTTAGCTGAAGACCAAAGAAGATGTTGGAGGTGGGAGTCCATTATGGGAGGTTACCAGGAAAAGCACAGTAAACAAGGGTAAGGTGGTTATGCAGATTTACATCAGTGCATTCTCTACTGATAGGAGTTTCTAGAGATTGAGAGCCATTCCCCTCCTCCGGGGAGGGAGATACCCTTACAAATGGAGTTTTCCCTTAAAATGTCTTTTACAAAAGGCTAACTTCTGAGTTTTCAGATCTTCTCTTGAGTCTGTAGTTTGGTTGTTTTTAAATAACCAGCTTAAAATAATCAGTATGCCAAAGAGATATACGGTGGGTGGCAAGACTTGCTCCCCTTTGGCCCTCAGGAGGAACCTGTAGGAGCGAGGGAAGCAGGATAGGGAAAGAGAAGCAGAAGAATGTGGTCTCCAGCGATATCCAGCCTCAGGCTGATCCCATGGGAGCTCGGCAACCTCAGCTGCCCCATCTTCAAAGAAGGAAGTGGGGCCTTTGTGCTTCCCCCCCCCGAGTCAGCCACCGGCTTTGAGCCATCCGTGGAAAGGCAGGCATCACTCCTTATCACTCCCAGGCAAGGTGGCTCCAACTCTTCAGAGGAAGGTGAAAAGTAGGAGCCACTGGTGGCAGCCCCCCAAAGCAGCCGGGGGAGGTGTCCACCAACTAAGTAAAAGGGACCTCAGGGAATCTAGATGAAACACACGCACGTTTGCTACACACACAAAGCATTTAGCACAGAGCCTGGCGTGCGGCAGATATTAAATATGTGGTAACAAGGAACCGCTCTCATAGACCTGCTCCACGAAGACTTCCTGAATCTTCTCAGTCACAAGTCCTGTCTCCCTCTTCTGTACTGTCATAGCACTTTGTTTTATTCTCATCCACCTCCTCAGACTAGGGTTTTGGAGTATGGAACTCCTTGTTACTCATTTCTGTATCGCCACAGGGCTAGAAGGATGATAGAAATCATGGCTGAGTTCATTCATGAACCCCTATCATGTGTTTCTCCAACAGCTGTCAGTGTTAAATATTTAGAAAACCAGCCTAGTAAAGGTCTACCACATAAAGACTGGCTCCCAACTCCTGGGAAATCCTGACAGCCTGGGATTACTCCCTAGACTATAATGGTGAAGAGCAGGGAGTCAGGGGGCCCGGCTGCCTGATTTCAGGTCACTGCTCTACCACTTTCCAGGTGAATGACCGGGGGCCAATTACTCAACCTCTCTTTCTTTCTTCCTCCCTAAAATGCGAGGGACAGTAGCATCTACTTCACAAGGTTGAAGTGAGGATGAAATGAGGTGACATGTATGAAGCACTTAGAACAATGCTAGGGGCAGTGAGTGCCAGGTGAACGTAAGCTACAAGTCAGTGAGGGCGACATGTGGTGGGCCTCCAGCCAGGCGTAGGATGGACGCGATCTGGCAGGACATACAAGACTAGCACGTTAAAGTTGCACCAGGGCACAAGCCAAGGCATGGAGGTGAAATGTGGCAAGTATGTTCGGGGCACTGGTCCATGTGGGCCATCGGGTTTGCAAAATATCACTGGGAGATAGCACTGCAAGGATTGTTTGGGGTCACACTTGCAAAGGGCCTGTTACTGGGTTAAAAATTTGGATTAGTCTCTGCTGGAGTTCAGGAGAGGGGACATTGGTGGGGACTCAAGAGGGGCGATGACTTACAGGGGGGCACTGGTGAGAAATAATCTGTGAGGATACCAGTTCCCATGACATTCTCATGGGCTAGGCTGAGGAAGGAACCAAACAGACCCGCCTGGTGTGCAGAAGGGGACTTCAAGGTGGAGGCGCCTCGCGTTCAGCTCGGTGACTATTCACACCACTGTCTTCCTACCCAACCTCCTGTGTTGTAGTTTATGTGCAATAAGCAAACGGGAGCAGGAGCAGGGCCTGGCTGCGGCACTGGCTAGCATCCTGTGGGCGGCAGGCGCAACTGAGAAGGCCACTGTCTGTCTCATCGCTGAGGACACTTACATCACCTCAACTCCTGACTACTCGGGAGATGATTTCACTGAGCGGGTGAGTGCACCCCTACCCGTCCTGCCAGATAAAGGGCCAATGAAGCCTAAGAGGGCACGAGACTCAACACGGAAATGAAGGTGAGGCCCCATCGACGCTCCTAGAGGTGTCCGACGTGGCCAAAGGCGTCTTCCAAAGAGGTAGGGACAAAGGGTTGTAAGTGATCCAGGCAGCCTAAGGGGAGAATCCTGCCGTGAATTTTTCCTTCCAGAATTCACCATGATCAAGAATATCCCATACCTGAAATCATTACAGACTGCATTTCCATATCCACTGTTTTAAACATTGCTGAGTTCTACCGGTTAGGAAAAAAATATGTTTATGTTCTTATGGCTCAAGATATCATATTGGCTTAAAACTAAGGAATGGAAAAGTGAGGCCAGGCCATCCACTCTCACTACGTATGATTTACATGGCCTTGTGTAAGATAGTATGTCAGGTTTTAGCAGTGTGATCTTGCAATGAAACAAAAAGCTCCCTTGAGGAAATAACAGTGAGTTGACATCTTATAGATGTAGCTTTCATCTTCCTTTCCATTTTTATCTTCTATTCCTGATTTATAGCTCCAGCTGTTTGAACTTTTAGAGAAAGAAGCCACTGAGAGATTCATCTATGATCATTTACAATGTGTAAGTGTTTAAGTGTGGAGATAATTCCTTTATGTTGAACTGATCTTACAGGAATCTTCTTTCTTTTACAAAGTGTATTTCTAATGATGCTTATTAAGAAAACCAGGTCATTTTGAAAGCTAAGAAAGGGCCGGATGAGAGAAAGAGAAGCCCGCCTTTCCCTCCCCACAACCTAAAAAGAGCCAGCTCACACACAGGCCACTCACAATTACCTCTTTGTCCCTGGCTAATCAAACCCAGAGAATAATACTATAGAGGGCATATGCCAAGATTTCTTTTGTGGGAAGAGAATATGTCAAAGCAGTCTTGCCTCATCTAATGGATAAAACACAAAAACGCTCCACCACGAAGGCCCTAGTCTAAACTGCCAAAATGGCCGTTCACACTGACTCCAAAGAAATGACTTCTGGTCTGAAAAAGGTGGCCCCGTTTCACCTGCTCTAGCAGCACCTTCCACACAGTGTCCTTCTGACAATGGTTCTTCCCCACCTCCCAGGACGGGACAGCGTGGTGGAAAATCTAAGGTGCTCTTTTAAGATTCCTTTGCAGGGAAAGGAATGCTGATTTTCTAAAGAATCGGAACCCTAAGGGGTAAAAGAGGACAATTAGCAGGGTTACCATGAAGCCATACAACTATGGATTATACAGAAGGGGGAAATGTGTTCCAGGAAACTCATTGTTCCATTCCTTCCGAAGGTTATAGAGGCAGAAAACTCAGGCAGGAGTTCTCAGCCACACGTTGGCCATACGATCTTGATTAAACTGGTTACCCCAGGCCTACCTCCCCCACCATCTCATAGGTCTCTGTGGCAGGCAGAAGAAAGTACCCCCCTCAACCCCACACAGAGATATCCGTACCCTACCCCCCGGAACCTGTGAATTTTATTCTTCATAGAAAAGGGGAATTAAGGCTGCTAATCAGCTGACTTTATTTTCTCATTTTTTAAAAAAATTTGTGTTATTTAAGTTTAGGTGACATACCATGTTATATTAGCTTCAAGTGCACAACATAGTGATTCAACAATTCTGTACATGACACAATGCTTTAAAAAAGGGTGAGTACTCTGGACTACCCAGGCAGGCCCAATGTAACCACAAGGGTCCTGAAATGTGGAAGAAGAAGACAGAAGAGGAAGTCAGAGGGTGTGATGGGAGAAAAGTGTCACCTGCTACCGTTGGCTTTGAAGATGGAAGTGGCGGTGGGGGGCGGTGGGCAGGGACACCAGAAGCTGTAAAAGGCAGGGAAACAGATTCTCCCCCAGAGCCTCTAGCAGGCCTGCTGACATCTCAATTTTGGCTCAGTTAGACCCATTTTGGACTTCTGACCTCTAGAACTGTAAGCTAATAAATTTGTATTATATTTTGTTTTGTTAAGTGTTTAATTTTAATTCCAGCATAGTTAACATACAGTGTTATAGGAGTTTCAAAATTTGTATTATTTAAGCTACTAAATTTATGGTTATTTGTGACAGCCTCAATATAAATTAACTAAGAAAACCTGTATGATAGATTTTAAATACCTGGCATGAAATACTAAGTTAGAAGCCTGCTTAGGGGACTCTTTGTTGTGGGCAGGAGAGGTTTAACAGGGTGACACAGATAGAGAGGACCCCGTAAGAAACGCGCCTTCCAGCAAAGAGAGGCAAACCCTTTCCTCTCTGTCTTCCATCTGCTCAACTCAGCCCTGGGGCAGTCTGATTCACTAGGAAGGATCCCCCCCATCTGCAAGGGCTTCCTCAGTGTAGCCAGAGTTGAGAATCAGAGGATCAGAGCTGCAACTATACACACTAAAGCCTGAGAGTCAAACTGGGATCAGTAATACAGGCCCAAAGCAGAGGCAGACCATGGGGCGTGGGCAAGCATGGCACAGGGACAGGGGGGCTACCGGGGTCAGACAGACCCGTGCTGACTGTCACCACAGCCACTCTGGGGCAGCGCTCGCACCACGTCTGACGCTCCTCTCAAGGGCACCCCTGACCAGGGACTGCCCATTGCGATGAACCCCCATCCCAGACCTTTACCAAAGCCCATTCAAGATGCACCAGTCCTATGTCCCATTCCTGAGTCCCATCTTGAGACAGAAATCTCAAGATCGAGGTCTGATGGCTACATGTGGATAGCAAGACCTATTGTAATGGGCTGAATTTCATCCCCCAAGAAGATATGTGCAAGTCATAACCCCCAGTGCCTGTGGAGGTGATCTTATTTGGAAAGGAGGTCTTTGCAAATGTAATCGAGTTAAGAAGAAGGCATGCTGGATTAGGGTCGGCTCTACTCCAGTGACTGGTATCTTTAGAAGAAGAAGAGGGCAATTTGGGCACAGACACAGACACGCAGGGAGAACGCCACGTGAGAATGCAGGCAGAGATTGGAGTGATGCAGCCCACAAGCCACTGTACTCCAGGGCTTGCCAGAAGCCACCAGAAGCTACAAGATGCGAGGAAGGATCCTTCCCTGTGGCCTTCAGCGAGAGTGTGGCCATGCTCTGACACCTTGATTTCAGATGTCTAGGCTCCGTAACTGTGCCAGAATAAATTCCTATTGTTTTAAGCCATTCAGATTTCTGGCAATTTGTCCTAGGAAACAAATACACCCATCATATATGATCTGCAGCAGTAGCCCACACCATGCTGTATTTTTAAGAATTGGATTCAGCATCTGTCAAAAACAATCAGGAGATTCCACATAAAAACCTGGATTTTTGGGGCGCCTGGGTGACTCAGATGGTTAAGCATCTGCCTTCAGCTAGGGTCATGGTCCCAGGGTCCTGGGGTCAAGCCCCCACATCGGGCTCCCTACTCAGCGGGAAGCCTGCTTCTCCCTCTTCCACTCCTCCTGCTTGTGTTCCCTCTCTCTGTGTGTATCTCTCTGTCAAGTAAATAAATAAAATCTTAAAAAAAAATGGATTTTTTTAGCTTTCCCCTGAATCAGAAAATCTGGCTGCACTAGCCCTATCTTCTGGCATGTCCTCAAATTAGCTGACAAGGGGGCCTCGACTCCCCTTGGAAAAGTTGTGAGAGGCTGGATGATGCCACCTACCTGGTAAAAGGACTTTGCAAATGTGATTAAGTGAAAGATCTTGAAATAGGGACATTATCCTGAATTTTCTTGGTGGGCCCAATTAATAAGAGGAGGCTTATTTAAGGGAAAGTGGATGTCAGGAGAAAGAAAGAGGTGTGATGAGGGAAGCAGAGGGAGAAGAGGGGTCACCATGTATGACCACAATTTGGGATCATGAGCCAAGGATAAGGACAGCTTCTAGAAGTTGGAAAAGGGGGCACCTAGGTGGCTCATTTGGTTAAGTGGCTGCCTTCAGCTCAGGTCGTGATCCCAGGGTCCTGGGATCGAGCCCCACATCGGGCTCCCTGCTCAGTGGCAAGTCTGCTTCTCCCTCTCCCTCTCCCTCTACCCCTCCTCTTTACTCATGTTCTCTCTCTCTCTCTCTCTCAAAAAAATAGAAGCTGAAAAAGGAAGTGAACAGCATGGCCCATAAAGCCTGCAGAAGAAACACAGGCTTGCCAGCAGTTTGAATCAAACTCAAGAAGTGACACCCACATTGGACTTCAAACCTCCCAAACCATAAGACGATGGATTTGTGTTGTTTTACGCCACCAAGTCTGTGGTCATTTGTCACGGCAGTAATAGGAAGCAATAGGAAACTAATACGCCAGCATCCCCAGTTTGCCTCAGGGTCCACCTACACCCCCCTCCCCGACCTCCGCCGCCCGTTTCTCTCACACACCACAGGACACCCATTTGGGTTCCTGTCTGGCTCCCACACACTGGAATTTGTTCTGCCTGAGGGTCCTGCCTCTGCCAGGTCACAGCGCGGCAAGGGGACAAATTAATCCATAAAAGGGAAAGCACCTGCCTTTAAAGGAGAGGCTTTAACCCTGGGAACCTTGAAAGCCAGCCAAGGAGCACTTTTCAGCAGGCAGAGAATTGACATAAAGCTAAGGCCTACTACCTGAATGTTGCTTGGGCAATTTGGATTTGATCCTGGAGATCACAGGGCACCTTTGGAAACTCGTGAGCAGAAAAAATAACCTGGGCAAGAGAAGAGACAGGGGAGAAGTGCCTTAAAAAGGGACAGATACTAATTTTGCTGTGATTCTAGCACGTTCCAAGCACTAAGGCAGGTACTGTGCATGATGTCATTTAACTTTTGCAACAGACCTGCAGTTTATCTGCAATTGCAGATGAGGAGATTGAAACTCAAGCAAGTCAGTAACTGCGATTAAGAGTAGAACTGGTTTTGAACCTAGATCTGTATAACTCCAAAGCTATTTCCACAGAGCATCTCTGCTCCCCTGGGGCAATAAGGAGGGAGGGATGCCCCAACCGAGGAGAGGCTGGGAAGGAGGCCAGCCAAGAGCACACAGAGGGCCTGGGCTAGGATGGACGCCGGAAAAATGGAGGTGAAAATTACACTACATCTTGGCCATGATTCAAAGACAGCCATGTGATAGAAATGGAGGAAAGAAAAAGGGGTCAAAAGGCAAGAGAAGGACAGCACCACGGGCCGACCTGAAACAAGGAAGGATGCATTTGAGAGTGAAGATGACTCTGGGACACTGTCCTATCAGCAGCTTTTCTAGGTTCTTGGGCTATAAATCCTTGAATTAATGCCTAGAGATATACATAGCTGCATTGCTTTTAGCCAAACATGCTTTTTTATTTTTGTCCCCCCAAACAGTTCAAAGGGGAACGAAGCCACGGTGTCATCTTGTTTCTTTACAGCCTCATCTTCTCCAGAACATTTGAAAGGTAAATTCAACAAATATTTGCACGGGCATTTCCTGTAGCTCTGTGATCACATAAGCGATGTATTCTTGGGTTGGAAAATATTTTCATGGCCTACTGGGAACAGGAGTACAGTTTTTTCTCTAGTGGATGCTCTTCTGTTGATTCATCCTTTTCTGTAGTCTGTTTGGCCATATTAATGGGTGAGTGGATGTCATCAGGAAGGTTTGAATCTGCTTTTCTAGGACAGTGGTGGCTTCCTTCTCCTGGTGGTTATAAATATTGACAGATAACACCAAAGCTTCTTCGTGTAATTTTCATAATAAAAAACATTTTATTATTTATGTGCACAATAAGATATATCCACAGGTATTTATTTTGTTTCTATGATATGCAAAGCCCTGTTCTTGGCACCGTGGGAAATACAAATAAAAGAAGAGATGGCCTGACCTGCAGGGTCCAGTCTGGGAAAGACAGGAGTTATACACAGAGATACCAGGCATGGTGCAGGTGGTAATTCATGTACCAAATGAGGCATAAAGACAAGGAGTCTTAGGGGATTCCAGAGGAGGAAGGGTCCCAGCAGACAGACTAGTAGAGGAAGGCTTCTTAGAAGAACTTCTGGGCTCTGAAAGGAAGGTAACCTCTTGAGAGTCAGAGAGAGATAGAGAGCCTCTAGGAAGGAAGAGTTACAAGCCCGGAAGCAGTGTTCCTAACACTTGTCTTTTGCAGAACGTCACCACATTTTTGTGGTCTGTGTTATTATTTGCTTAACAGTTTTCTTTAAATCAACACATATTTACATATTAACTTCTTCCTAAACATCCATATCCTTTTAATCATGTATTTGTTGTACTAAAGAGAAATGTATTAAGCACATCACTATAATTTTTTTTTTAAATCATGCCACACTTTGGGCAACGCTGCCCTGAATTATATCTGATGCCACCAAGGCACTCACTGTGCTTGACCCAAGTTTTTGGTCCCTATTCACAGAAGGGCATGACCTCCAGTCCTGTGAATAGGTTCCTTCAAGAGCACATTACAGCTCACACACCAGTACTCAGCACCTCTCCCTGGGTGAGAGCTGGAGCCCCATTCCACTTTGACTTCACATGGTCCAGGGTAGGACCATGAGCCCTGCTCCCTGTTGAAACAGTAGAGGTTGCCCTTCTGCAGTCAGGAAATGGGCTTCACCCCCAAACTGGTATTTTCCACTTGAACAGTCTGTTCAACTCAGTCTTGGGCCAGCACTCTCTGGAGTGGTCATGTGTCACTCCCCTAAGCCAAGCATCCCTTGTCACTTGGAACAAATAGTTTCTCCACTGTGCCCGGCACCCACACAGAGCATACATGTGAGTCTGTCACTTCAGCCTTCTCCCTTATCAGCAGCTTCCCCCAAATGCATCCCTAGCTTTTCCCATCACCTCTGCAGCCTCCATCCCAGAGACTTTTCCGGTGAGAGACAAAAAGGTGCAAGGCACACAGGAGGGACAGTGACTGGGCGAACCCACTCGACTGCTGCTCTGTGTTGGGAGGCAGAGGAAGGATAGGCTGCAGGTTCCTGGTGCAGTCATTGTCTCTGACTGAAGGCTGATGGCGTCTCACATTCTGCAGGCTTCAGAAGGACCTAGATGCCTCCACAGCTCATCTGTTACAACCAAGTGCTGGGGGCTTCCTGTGCAGGCAGGTAGGTTGGGAGACTTTGCCTTTCTATTGCAGAATCTGAATTAGGCTTTTTGTTTGTTTGTTTTTCAATTAAGCATATTCTCTCTTGAAGTGAGGAGTGATCGAGTTATCTTTGAAAGACTAAGAAGATGCTCCCCTGAGTTTGTTATCAGAGTCTACCTTCCAACTTCCACCACGGTCTTCCCAGTTTACCTCTGAGAGCCCCACATCCCTGCAATTCTACAGACCCATTAGAAAATACCTTGACAAGACCCACCAGGAATCCCTAGTAATGGAAAGAAAAGTACTATAACAACAGCTGAGCGTACTGCTTCTAAAATCACAACTACAGAAAGCAGAGTTTAAAAGAAATGGAAAGAGAAGAATGGCAGTAAGATCTGAGTGGGGCACGTGAGGATCTACGGGGTTTGGCTCAAGAAACAAAGTCACTCAAGTTTTGTGTTAACCATACCAAATGTTGATGACCTGTTTTTCCCGAATTAGATATTATGTCATTTCATTCTTTTAAGTAAAACTGGTAATTTTTCAGTGATTATTAAAAGAAAAAAGAAATTAAGTCCTTCTGTCATTGCTACCTAACATGTAAATATTTGTAAACTATATCATCTAGGCCGTTTTGAACATGATTCTAACCGGAAGAGCAAGTCCAAATGTCTTTAATGGCTATCAGAAGGGAAAGTCGCAAGAAATATTACATGGAGTCCTGACCCGCAGTGACGTCGGGTATTTGCAGTGGTATAAGGATGCCTCAGAGGATGACAGGCTTTCGCAGGTAAGTGTGTTCTGATTCGCAACCACACAACCAGAGTGTCAGTGTTTTGATATATTTTTTTTTAGTCTCCATATTAAGACAATGAAAAATCTGAGCTAACTTTTTCCTTTACTATATTCCTGCACACCTCCCATCCACCACATACACATACACAAACAGAGAGACTCTCAGAGTCTCAATGTAAATATCTAAGTCTACTGTACTTGCTTCATCTTTTATTGTATGCATTTTTATGTATATAGAGTACAGGTAATATAAGTAAGAGGCAAATAACTTTTTTGAAAAACAATACTTGAAATATACAGATGAAAGGAAAGCATCCTTTATTCCCATCCAGCTACAGGCCTCGTTCTCAGAAATCAATTCTGTCAGCAGCCCATGGGTATCTTCCCAATCCTTTGTTTATGCAAATGAATGCATATTTTCAATCTATTGCTTAAAGCTTAAAAAAAAAATCACTGGGGGAAAAAAGCCTCCTGCCCCCCCCACCCCCACCCCATGAAACTCCTCTCAAAATGATTTCCAGCTCAGGGGATTTACAACCTCTGACAACCTTCAGAAAGTAGAATGTGCCGTTGAAAAACATAACCAGAGAATTAAGTAAGATATGACTCTGCAGAAATAAACAGGAGAGAGGGTGAGAAAGCAAATACACCCACCCCAAACCACAAATCAAAGATGCTTCTGTGATATTTTCACAAAGATCTCCATCTTAAAACCCAGGCAAGGCAAGGTGGGTTCTGTGAAAAAGCCAGGCTTCTCTGGAGTGGCCATGAAATTAGCTGGGATGTAATTCAGTAGGATGCTGACAACCCCCCAGCCCTGTCCCGGCCCCAGCCTCTCCCAACCACCAGCAGTAAATGAGGGCCTTGCTGCTCAGTGCCCTGTCCTGTCCTTCACTCTCCCAGTTCAGCTCAAAATCCCTTTCGTGGGCACAAGACTTCAGGCTTTAGAAGATCCTTTTATATCCAGAGCTTCACTCGTCTTCCCTCCTGCTCTTGGCTCCAGCCACAATGCCTTATTCATGAAATCCGCAACTTGTTATACCTACAAATCATGTATCTGAGGGCACCAGAGAAGTAGAGTTTGACCGTAGCAGAATTAAGTACATTTTGCATACAAGCCTGTTTAAAGTTTGCTTATTATTCCTTGAGTTTGAAATCTAGGCCCATCATAGAAAAATGAGAAGTGGCAGAGAAGCTAAAAGTAAAAGAAATGAACCCATTCCCATCACCCAGGGGTCAATCCTTTCAGCAATGCGTCCTTCTCTTTTTCTTTCTTATATAAATATGTCCTATGCTACTCTTTGGAAACCCAATTTTTATCACTTAACACATATCCGTATGTGTCAATGAAGATATGTCCTTCATCATATTTAGGATGCAAAGAGTTCCACTCCATGAACATGAAAGACCGTACTTTGAATATACCCTGGACAGAGAAGGGACTTGTTATTGTTATAAAATTCCAAATCCCTTGGTTCTAAACTGGGAACTCATCTTAGAATTTGATAGATCTATAATAAAGAGGAAAACGAAGCCACCCAAAGAAAGGAACTATAGATTTCAGTTTACATATTTTTCTCTTTTTTTTTCAACCACACACTTTCACCTGATGGCCAAGACTTAGTTTGGAGAAAAATGGCAGGATACACCGGGAGGATACACCAGGGGCAAGTTTCAAGGAGTGAGGACGCAAAAGCCACAATGGTAATTTGACTGCTTTGTCTATGATTACAAAGCTCTTTCACACGATTTCACTCTATTCTCATTACAAACTACAAAGATTTAAAACAGCTTTGTCGTCGCTCCATACCTGCAGCACGCTCTGCTATTATTTGATTAATATTTTTCTTTAAATCAACTCATTTTAAAAATTTGCATGTAACCATTTCTGCAGCAGTAATACAAGCCACGGACTTGACACGCTCGCTATTTTTTTTCCCTAATACATATTCAAAGAAGTAAATAAACAGGTTTTGTTTTAAAGCTTACCCCGGGCCACTGGCATTCCTGCCTCGTGCCACCAAACGGCACTTCTGTGCTACACTTTGGAAACCTGGAATAAAAGTGAGGGGGATTCTGTAACACGCAGGAAGCCGCCCTCACCTGAAAACCAGGAGACTTGGTTGGAGGCTTTGCCCGGCCCCTCACAGGGGTGTGACTTGGGCTGGTCACTTACTCTCTCTACACCGGTTTCCTCATCTCAGACTAGTGTCCTCACACCTGCTCTGCAACCACGGGACTGAGGCGAAGAGCAAACAAGATTATGAATGCCAAAGCCTGCTGGGAAGCCAGAGTGACCTGTACACATGTAAGTTTAGAATGGATGATAAAGGCCATGTTCATTGATCGTCTCCTAATTGTGAGGCTCTGTGTCCAGATACAAAGATGAGTCACACATGGGCCAGTACATACCCACACGCTGATTGTTCGGGGAAGGAGACAGACGATAAATGCTGGAGAACCGTGCTCTCAGCGCTGGCTGCACGCTGAAATCACCTGGAGGGTTTGCTTTTTTAATTGACTTTATTTTTTAGAGCAGTTTTTTTCCTCCACAAAATTAAGCGGAAGGTACAGAGATTTCCCATATACGCCCTGCCCCCCCACATGCATAGCCTCCCCCATTATCAACATCTCCCACCAGAATGGCACATTTGTTACAATTGATGAGCCTACATTGACACATCATGATTATCCAAAGTCCATAGCTGACCTTACCATCTTGGTGTTGTACATTGCCTGGATTTGGACAAATGTATAATGACTTGTGTCCACCATTATAACATGATACAGAGCAGTTTCACCGCCCTAAAAGTCCTCCATGCTCCAACCCCAAGCAACAACTGATCTTTTTACTGTCTCCATAGTTCTACCTTTTCCAGAATGTCATATGGTTGGAATGATACAGTATGTAGCCTTTTCAGGTTGGCTTCTTTCACTTAGTAATATATAAGTTCAAGGCTCTTCCCTGTCTTTTCACAGCTCAATTGCTCATTTCTTTATAATGCTGAATAATATTCCATTGACTAAGTAATATTCCGTTGATGTACCAAGGTTTATTTGTCCATTCACCTACAAAAAACATTTTGGTTGCTTCCAAGTTTTGGCAATTATGAATGAAGCTGCTCTAAACATCTGTGTGCAGATTTTTATGTGGACATAGGTTTTAAACATTTTTAGATAGGTAGCAGGGAGCACGATTGCTGGATATATGGTAAGAGTGTTTAGTTTTGTAAGAAACTGCCCAAATGTCTTCCAAAGTGGCTGTACATTCTTGCATTCCCACCAGCAGTGAGTCAGAGTTCCTATTACCGCACATCCTCACCAGCATTTGATGTTGTCAGCATTCTGGATTTTAGCCATTCTCATAGGTGTATTGTGGTATCTCATTGCTGTTTTCATTTCCTCGATCATATGTGATGTGGAACATCTTTGCATATGCTCATTTGCCATCTGTATATTTTCTTTAGCGAGTCGTTGGCCCGCTTTGAGAGCTTTTAAAACTACCAATGCCCAGGTCATCCCCAGAACGCCGTCAGCTTCATGTGTGGAAGATCTGTGTGGGCACACAGGGCCCCAACACTCAGAAGGCCCTGCCCTTAGTCTAATGCTCTACTGTCACCATCTTAAAATTCTTACTAATTTTTGAGTAAGTGTCCCCGCGTTTTCATTTTGCACTGGGCTGCAATTTCATAGCCAGTCCTGGCCAATGACTCTATTCTATTTGGTCTAGAGAGCATCTGAGCATTAGAATTTTAAAGCCCACAAGTGATTCTCATGGGCAGCCAGGTTTAGAAACCTCGACATTTTATTT